AGAGAGAGGAATGTTCTCCGGCAATTCTCTGGAGATGACTGAGCAGGCCTGTTCTGCTCTCCCTCAAAGTGCAATGTTAACAATGAAAGGAGGGAAGGGAATTTTGATTTGTTTACTACCTAGGAAGGGCCACCCCACCCACTTTGATACGTGTCATCTCTTTTCAGCCTTTGCTAGAACATTGCCAGGGAGTCATCATTGTCCCCATTGTATAGGTAGGGAAACTGAGGCTGAAAGAGGGCAAACTATTTGCTTTAGGACACACAGTTGGTAAGAAGTAGAACTTGGATCCAAAACCATTTGAGAGACCCCATAGCTTGAAGGTTGAGACCATGGTCTCTGGACCCCAAATGCCTGGGTTTTATCATTGTCTACTATTTAATGAAAGCTGTGCAACCGTAAATGAGTGACTCGTCCCCTTTATGCCTCAGTTTCCTCATCTATAAAATGGGCAGAGTGCGATATTATCTGCCTATATGGTCACGGTGAGGATTAAATGAATCAACACATGGATACACCTAGACTACTACCCAGCACAGTAAGAATTTAAAAAGCTGCTGTCTATAATTCATGCACTTTCTATTACCCTGTCCTGAATCTCTGTGAGGTTCCTAAGCCCTGACCTCTTCACCACACCTGATATTTCTTAATAAAATGAAGTTATTGGAGTTTAAGCCCAGCGTCTGGACATACCGAAACTCAAGGGCTGTGCTCCTGAAATATGTCCTTGGTACGCCCCCCTCCCCTGCCTGCTGCAGCTCTCTGGCTGATTAAAAGCTGTCTTTGCCCAGAGCAAGCTGAGTGACAGGGCACACTATCCCATTTACGAAAATCCAGGTGTAAAAGAAAGATAACCACCCCCACCCCCACTCGGAGGCTGAAGATACTAATTTTCTGAAGCCCAGATAAACGGCAGGTGCAGGATGGTACACAAGGCGCAGAAAAGCTGGGGCGGCAGCCAGGGGCTGCAAGAGGAGTGATTAGAAGCTAATGAAGTGATTCGGTGCCGGAACGCAGGGCAAAGAAATGAGTCTGAGCTTGGTGACAGGCTCCGAGAGCTCCTGCCTGCAGCAGGACAGGACGGGATGGCAGGGAGGGAAAAGAGCAAGCTTCGGCATCGTCTCCCAGATGTCTGTCGCCTACTCCAGAGGCGGTTTTACAACACTGAGGGGCCAAACCTCAAGAGAGAGGTCTCTCAACACCATTTTGCAAGTTGGAAGCCAGAGGAGGCACAATGAACATCCAGAGTGGGGCTGCCGGCTGGAGGGTCCCTCACAGCTCACTCGTCTATGAACCTGACCTCACAGGCCTGATTCGGGGCAAGCAGGTGTGCCGTTAGTAAGGTTACGTGACAATGTGTGTGAAGGGCTCAGCCTGAGCCTGGGCCCACAGTAAGGGCTTGATGACTGTCAACTGCTGAGAATCCTCACGGGAACAGGGCTCGACGGCAGAGTCCCAGCAGGTTGACTGCACAAACCTTGACGGTGTAAGGTGGAGCTCACCATTTTAGGCTCCAGGATAACCGTGTATATCCAGAGAAAGGGTGCAGAAAAGTCCACAGCCCGACTCAGGAGAACCAGCCAGTGTCCACCACACTAAGGATGGTGGAATGAGACAAACCCTGACGCGGGATTGAGGGCATCCAGCCAGGAGTTTGCCTTTGCATTCTAGAAGAGCAAGGCAAAGAGAAAAGGGGTCCTCACTTTGGGAATAAAGATAACAGAATCGCTTAGGGTTGAGGGCTCCGCCTCCAAGATGAACATCATGGGTTCAAATGCCTGGTTCTGCCTCATGCTAGCTGGTGACGTTCAATATTCAAGTCACTTTCTCACCTCAGTTTCCTCATTCTTAAAAGCAGAATGAATAAAGCCATTGGGGTTCTTGTGCGAATTCAATAGGCTAAAATAAGAGAGCAAACGCGTGCAAAGTATGCAGCGTGCTGCGTGGCGTATCAGCGCCTTCGGAAAGCTGCAACTCTTATCTGCTCTGTCATGTGCGCAAGGTTGCAGACCAAGGAGGAGGAAGAGCCAGGATGATTCCTGAGCCCACGTCGCTCGAGTTCTTGCCAGTTCCCTGGGAATGGGCAAATCTCCCTCTTCTTCCTCACTGTCCTGGCAGGAAGACAGGGAGAAGAGGCAGAGGCTGTGGATCCCGGGGAAAAGGACAAGGTGGAGCGGCCAAGACAAGGGAAGCCCACGGAAGAAGGGATAATTCTAAACGCCAGGGGTATGGGGTGTGGGGAAGGCGGCGGATGCTGGACTTGTTCTCAAAAGTCAACATGGCAGGAGGCCATGAAGCGAGAGGCATCCTCAACCATGAAATGGGGTCTGCCTCGCACGCGCTCCACGGGAGCTGATGGAGATTAGCGTGATTACCCCGGAGCAGGTGTGATAGACCAGTCTCGCTGCGGTGATTACAGATGCAGTCACTGGGACTATTTCAGCCAAGGGCTGTCACGTTCCTGTCACTCAGAGCTTCTCGCCTGAGCCTGAAAATGCTTACGGGGACTGAAATTCTTTCTCTCTCCTACTCTATGCTGAGGGGTCTCGTGTGTGTGTGTGTGTGTGTGTGTGTGTGTGTGTGTGTGTGTGTGTAAGGGGGTTGCTGGGGTAGGATGGAATGTAAACACATAATTTATTGCATATTTGACAAATATTAATGCACCCAGCAAGTGCCGGGCACTGTTCAAGATCCTGGGAAGATACGACAGCAAGAAAGACAGATTAAGGTCTGTGCCTTCGTGGAGCTTATACTCTTTAAGGAATTATCGTGGTAGATATAGTTCCTTCCTCCCTTCCTTCCTTCACTGATTTACTCACTGAATAAACATTCTGAAGTCAGACTGCAGCCGAGCTTGGCTGCTTATTAGCTAATGCAGCCTTGGGCAAATTTCTTAACCTCCAATTCCTTTTTCTCTAAAATAGGGATAAGAACAGGACCCACCTACAGCTATGAAAGGACAGGGGCTGAGGAACAGGTGGGAAACTGAATTTGATCATGAACTTGGCCCATGGCCTGTTGGCCTGGAAGGCTGAGGATGACGGATGAAGAGTTTGTCCACATCTGAGTGTGCAGTGTCCTCTCTCTTGGCACCTTAGCGTCCATTGTGCGTCTCTGAGATCGATGAGGCCGGTGCACCTCCGGCAGGCTACACACTCACTGCACAAGGCTGGGCTTGCGGGGAGGGTTACTATCATCCAATACTCCAGCAAGACTTCTGGGGGCCCAGGAGTGGGCCCCTCCCCTAGAGAACATCGTTGAGTCCCCGATGTATGTCCTGACTGCACTGCTGTCCTTCTGCATCCTTTAGATGCAGCGTCCACGGTTGACATTTGTTCCTAAGTGGTTGGACTCACAGGCTTGATGAGGAAATTCAGTGAGCTCACAAGTCAAGAGCTTAGTGCAGTGCCTGCCCCAGAGCTAGCGCTTAGGAAATGTTAGCTATTCTTGTCCGTAAGCACTCGCTGTGTGCCAGGCATGTGCCAGATGCCGGGAGTAATGCGTGTGTGTGTGTGTGTGTGTGTGTGTGTGTGTATGCGCGCACGCTTCATAGGCAAGTGCACACACATCGCAAAGGTCAGTGAATGCAAAGTGGCAGCCATTGTTCCCGCAGCAGCAAAAGCAGCAACCCTCTTGAGCACCTTCAGGCTGTACTTTAAAACACAACTCCTGTTCTCTGACTTCCTTTTTAAAAACTGGGAGGATTGTTTCTGAATGCGTGTGTATCACTTTAGCTTATTTCTAGACAAAAGGGAGGATGTTTCTTATGTCCTGAACCTTCCTCTGAGGCTCCTGGGAGAAGGGATCGTGCCCATGAAGCATTTAGTGCAGTCTGGCTCACGCAAAGAGCTGAATAAATGGCAGCTGTGAATCCCACAGCCTGTTTTATGGGACGAGAGAGAAGGTCATACAATGCCTAGTGAGAATACGGTTTTGAAGGCAGGAAGAGCTGGTTCTGAATCCTAATCCCCCGCTATTCACTAGCTGGGAAGCCTTGGGCAGGTTGTTTAACTTCTCCGAACCTCAGTCTCCTCATCTGCAAAATGGGATAATCATACACCTGGCCTCATGGCATTATGAGAAGTCAGGGACAGAATCGGGGAGGGGCTCAGTGCCTGCCTGGAAGGAGTGATGTTCCTGCTGTTTCCAGGGCAGGTCTGGTGGGAGCTCGCAGGCAGTGCAGGGAATTTCCCAGCCAGCTGCCTCTTTTTTTTTTTTTTTTTTTTGGAGACAGCGTCTTGCTCTGTCGCCCCAGCTACAGTGCAGTGGCATCATCATAGCTCACTGCGACCTCAAAACTCCTGGGCTCAAGTGATCCTCCTGCCTCGGCCTCCCAGAGCATTAGGATTACAGGTGTGAGCCACCTCGCCCAGCCCAGGATGCCTCCTAACCCTCTGTTTTTATTTTGTTCTGTTTTAAAACTCTCATTGTTTATCTGCCAGAGCCCAATATTTTAAAATGGCAGTTTCTCTTGAAAGACTACACTGTGCTCTGTAGATAATGGACGTTCAACTCACGTAACGCTGAGGTTGCTAATCACCCTGAGAGGGGTGTTAGTACTTTCCCCCCATTTTACAAATGAGGGAACTGAAGCTCCAAGGGCTTAAGTAACCTGCCCAAGCTGACTGGCTTTTTTTGATTTCAGGCTTATTTGAGACTAGTGTGTGTGCTCTTAACGACCCCAGCACAAGGGACCACCTCTGGGTCCTCACCTCTTTCTCCTTCTCTTTCCCCTTCCCCCTTCTCCGATGGGTAACACAGAAAGCGCCTGGGCTTTGGAGTCAGATTAGCCAGAATTCAATCCCTACTTCCAGGTCTTGCTTACAATGGGAGATGACAACACCCACTTCTCTGAGTGGTAGTGACAATTGAATGACATTTTTTTAGCGGACATAATGCCTTTATCCCAGTGCCTGGCACGCAGCAGGCAATGAGTAAGTACTAGGTTCTCCAGGCCCCTCCCCTCCACCCCTTCCTTCTCACTTCCCCACAGCACTCACATGAACCTGAGCTCAGACTCCCGACGGACTAAGACTTCCCGGAGGCGCTGGATTTTCGCCATCTCCAGCTCGATCTCCTCCGGCATCATGGTTGTCTCTGCCATGGAGACGATGTCCAGTTGACCTATGCAGGAGACAGAGACGCAGGTGTCAGGACCTGGAAGCTGCACCAGTTCTCAAAGATTCCTGCGGGACAGACCAAATCGTCACACCAGGGAACAGCCTTGCTCCGAGACTATCACACACCACGAGGGCACACAGACCTCGGCCTGGGCTGCAAATGTGTATTCGTGCACGGGCCCTTCGGAGACTGGAAAACACGTTTTCCACGGTAACCCTGTGTGATGGCAAGTGGAGGCTCAGGCGGGCTCATGAAAACCTGCTGAAGGCTTTGCCAGCCCCTGCCCAGCCCCAGCTTCTGAGCCGCTGTCCCCCTGCCCACCGCCACTCCACCCCGTCCCAGCCTCCAAGACCAAGGCTGACTCAAGGTAGAAGAAAGTTTTGTAATAATTATCTTGTAGTAATACTAAGTCATGTAAGTAATAGTAATAGAAAGTAATACAAGTTTGTCGTAGAAAATTCAGATAATACAGGTAAGCAAAAAAGAATAAGGTAAAATGTTGTCTATAACCCACTGCCCAGACAGAGCCACCATTAACATTCTGACGGACACTCTTCCAGTCTTACATAGTCAGAGTTCTATCTACTGCCATACACAGAAAACCATACGTAAAAACTATATATATGACCATAGGCCAGGCGCGGTGGCTCACTCCTGTAATCCTAGCTCTCTGGGAGGCCAAGGCGGGCAGATTGTTTGAGCTCAGGAGTTCGAGACCAGCCTGAGCAAGAGCGAGACCCTGTCTCTACTAAAATTAGAAAGAAATTAATCGGACAACTAAAAATATATAGAAAAAATTAGCCGGGCATGGTGGCGCATGCCTGTAGTCCCAGCTACTCGGGAGGCTGAGGCAGGAGGATCGCTTGAGCCCAGGAGCTTGAGGTTGCTGTGAGCTAGGATGACGCCATGGCACTCTAGCCGGGGCAACACAGTGAGACTCTGTCTCGAAAAAAAAAAACAAAAAACTATATATATGACCATATATATACATAACCATATAGATGACCTCGTATAAAGACACTACATGTGTGTGTATGTGTGTGTATTAGTCTGCCCAGGCTGCCATAACAAAATATCACGGGCTGGGTGACCTAAACAACAGCAAATTTATTTTGTAGCAGTTCCGGAGGCTGCAAGTCCAAGATCAAGATGCCAGCAGGGATAGTGTCTGGTGAGGGCTCTCTCCCCAGCCTGCAGATAGCTGCCTTCCTGCAATGTGCTCACATGGCTTCTTCTTATGTGTTAGGGAGGGTGGGGTGGGATGTGGGGTGCGAGCTCTCTGGTGTCTCTTCTTATTAATACAAGGACAGTCTCCAATTTCACATTTTCCCTATTCACCCATCTCCCCTCTCTCCCTCCCATTTGCACAGCTGTTCCATGCCGCCCTCGCCAGCTCTACACTATCTATCTTCCACACTCATCTACGTTGTGAAATCTCAGAACTCTCTGAAAATATAAAAGAAGCAACATTGCTCTGAAATGCTGAACTGAAAGGGCAGAGAATCTCCAGTAGGCCTATGACTGCAAGGCCAAAATTTCCTTAGAGGCCCCATCTCCTAATACAGCCACGCTGGCGGTTAGGGCTTCAACACAGGAATTTTCATAATGGTATGCATATATGTATGTATGTATACGTGTGTATATACATAGTACCACATATATTACCATTATCATTTTGGTACATATTCTTCCACTGTGTATATGATAGTTTGTATGATTATATGTTATATGTGTTGTATGCATATACAGGGAAATATATATCATTTATATGTATAATATTATACACAGACATGCATATTTTTAAGACGAAAAATATACACAAATGTTAGTAGTTAAAAATGTTAATATATGCATGTGTATATACACACATACATACCATTATATACATATACACATATCCATCATTATATAGGTCTCATTTTTATAATATGAAGTTAAGGTCACACCATTTTCTTACTTGCTTTTCTCACTTTTGCCTGTCCTTGGATGTTCTTCCTGAGCAGCAGTGCTGAAGGGTAGGTAGCTTTCTATTTCTGGGTGTATCACGAAACACTTAGTCAATCTGCAGACATTTAGGTTGTTTCCCATTTTTCCCCACTATAAACAGCCCTGAGATGAGCCTTTTCAAAGCTAAATCTTTGCACAATCTAAGAGGTTCCTTTAGGCTACACTTCCAGAGTGAACGGCTGAGTTTTAAGGGATGCAATATTCAAGGCTGTTTACAGGTAGCGGGGGAGTCTTGGGGGAGGAGATAGTCTTGCTTTCCTCCAAGACCAGTGTCCCATCCCCTGTATCTGCTAACTCTCCGCACACACACCCAAGGTCGGGCCCCACCCCGCACCTCCGTTCTGTTGCCAGGCGTTGTCTTTGGAAAGTTGTCCTGTCCACCTGCCTGTCTCTGGCCTATGACCTGGGGCCCTGGCCCCGCACACCTGCACAGGACTTAGGGCACTGTGACCTTCAGACTTTCCTGGGGCTCCCAGGAGCCCGCCTGCCATGTCTGTCCACCTGTGGGGCGCTCCTGGCCCTGAGCTGTCCAGCAGACGTTAGATTCTCGGCAAGTTGGCACACCCTTCCATCACCTACCCCCTAACGCATCTGTTCCATGGGGCAAAATGACCTGTCTCCCCTCCACCCATCAAAACTCCTCCTCATTTTTCTGAGGAGTCGGGAGGAAGACAACTCTCCATAGTCGATGCTCACATTGCAAGGACTGGCCTCCCTTCGTTCTCTCTGAGACAATTACCAGTTGGAAGAGAAATAATGATACAGGCAATGGAAAAGGCCAAGGAAGTAGTCGGGGAGAAGAAATTTCCTCCCTTTCTGTCTGGCGTCTCGGAGCAATGTCAGCTTCTTTTATATTTTCAGAGAGCTCCAAGGTTTCACAATGCGGATGAGCACAGAACATAGTGCAGAATTTGCTGCAGAGCTGGGGAGGGGACATTGAACAACTGTGTAAGCAGAAGGGCAAGAAGGGAGGTGGGTGAACGGGGAAAACGTGAAACTGGAGAGACCCCCAACCGTCTCCTCCCTGCCTTCTAAGGCTGGCAGGCCCCGAGGACTCTCCGGCCTTCTGGGTGAACAGGGAGATGCGGTGGAGGAAGGGGAGGAGTGTCAGAAAGAGAAGGAGGGAGAGAGGTCAGAGGAGCTGTCTCAGGCTGCAGCTGTGTACAGGAGTTGTAGGAAATTTTCCACGTGATGTGCTGGGTAAAGATCTCCGCGGGGTCATCAGGTTAAGCTTCAAGGCCCCTAGGATCAGATTTGGGGTCCTATCGCCTCTGACACCATGCCAAGATGGCTCCTGGGATTGGAGCAATGAGGCCTGGCTTGAGTAAGGAGGGAAGGAGAGAGAGATAGAATAAAGATATTAATATCTATTGAGCGTCACTGTGTGCCAGGATCCAACCAGGCTAGAAGAACAGCTTCGTGGACTCTGGGCACAGGGCAATTGAGGGTTGCGGTGACCTGGGGGTGGGGAGTGGGGGCGTCCTGGAGTCAGACGGCCTGGGTTCGAGTCCCAGCACGGCCTTCACTAGCCATATGGCCTTGGAGAGTTTGTTGCCCTCTCAGGGGCTCGGTTTCTCCTCTGTAGCACGAGGACAAGAGAGCACATCCCGCAGGGCAGCTGCGAGGCGTGAACGAACCGAGGCATGCTGTGCTCTATATATGGTTACAACTGCCCTTGTTACCGCCACGGCACCTGCTCTGCCCCGCCTTCTCTTTTAATCCTGACTGCAAGCCAGCAGGGTTGGTATGTTCTCATTCGTATACACAAGGAAACAAAGGCTTGGAGTTGGCCAGGGAAAGGGCTGAGCCCATGTCTGGCTCCAGATTCATGCTCTTTGTCCCATCCCAGCTGTCTCTGGTCCATGCAGGTGTTCCAAGTCCACACCCATTGTTCGTTCACATCTCAGAGGCAGGGTGGTGCCATAACAAATTGCCATGATGAGGAAGGCTTAAAACCACAGGGATTTAGTCTCTCGTGGTCCAGGAGACCAGAGGTCCAGAATCAAGGTGTTGGCAGAGGCCATGCTCTCTCCAGGGACTCTAGGAAAGGATGCATCTTTGTCTCTTCCAGCCTCTTGTGGCTCCTTGGCTGGTAGTAGCATCACTCCAACCTCTGCCTCTGTTTTCATGTGCCCTTCCTCCTGGGGGCTCTGTGTGTCCTTTTCTGTCTCATTCGATGTAGGGCCCACCCTACTCCAGCGTGATTTCATCTGGATCCTTAATTACCCCTGCAAAGACCCTATTTCCAATAAGGTCACATTCTCACATTCTAGATGGACATGAATTTTAGGAGGCCACTAACCCACCACGAGGACGGATGGCCACCAGCTTGCAAGCTCCCTGACAGCACTGTCACTCTCTCCAGGGCCTTTAGTTTGGGCACACGGAGCACAGCCTTGGAAACAGCAGGTATCCCAGGAAGCAGCCAGGGGGCGGGGCAAGTACATGGAGGCGTGGGGGTCTGGCAAAAGCCAGCTGGGGGCCAGAGTCAGAGATCCTCGTTTGAGGCCAGTCATCTGCTGCAAGACCTCGAATGAGTCTCTTTACCTCTTAGCATCACTTTTCATGTCTGCACAACGGGGTTCGATAGTTGCCATGTGCTGGAAGCTTTATGTGAATTATCTCATTTAATCCCATTTTATGGATGACAAATCTGAGGCTTAGAGGAGGAAAGTGACTTGCCCAACATGGCACAACCAGAACGTTGCAGAAAACCCAGCTCGCTTGCGCTCTCTCTCTCTCTCTCTCCCTCCCTCCTCCACCCCCCCAAACCACATGCCCTTAACCACATTTTACAGCCTCCTGGTGAGAGTTAAACGCATTTGTGGATGTGCAAGTGCACAGTTAACCACCCCACAATATGAGCATCCTCATTTTTCACATCGCGGTTCAGATGGGCAACCTGATTTCCATGGGACAGATGCTGAAAATGGCAACACACCCTGGGGCGAGGCGTGGGATGAAGAAAATTAATCGAGAACTGGCATTTTACCTCC